GATAGATTATGCTTTTGGTGTCAAGTATAAGAACTTGCTTATCTCCAGATCCCAAAGATGTTCTCCTATGGTGTTTTTTTTCTAAGTTTTGCATTTAAGTCTGTGATCCATTTTTAGTTGATGTTTGTATGAGGTGGGAGACTTAGCTAACCTGCCCCCCAGGATGTCCAATTGTTCCAGCATCATTTGATTAAAAAGCTTTTTCCTCCATTGATTACTTTGCATTTTTGCCAAATATTGGTTGGTCATTGTGTGTGCTCTTATTTCTAGATCCTTTGTTCTTTTTCACTAATCTATGTATCTTTCCCTCCACTAATGCCACATAACTTTGATTATATAGCTGTATACTGAATCTTGAATTGGATAAATTGATTCTTCATAATATGATATCCACAGCATATATCTCTCCATTTATTTAGGTCTTTGATTTCTTTCATAAGCACTGTGTGATATTGGGCATACTGATCTTATACAGTACATGTTTTGTTAGATTAATAATTTTTTAAAAATTATAAATGGCATTGTATCTTTAACTTTGTTGTCTGCATGTTCATTGCTAGTAAGTAAAAATAAATTGATTTTTGAGCTGGAAGTATAGCTACGTGGTAGAGCATGTACTTAACATTCATGAAGGCATGCTACCAATAAATGAATAGATAGGTAAATGGGTATATGGACAGATGGACATATTATTTTTATGTTTATCTTTTCTCCTCAGTGAGTTCACTGATTAATTCTAGAAGAGTTTTATAGATTCTTTGGGATTTTCTATGTGAAACATGCCATTTGCAAATAGGAATAGTTTTATTTCTCCCTTTCAGTCTATATGCCTTTTGTTTCCTTTCCTAGTTTTATTACATTGGCTAGAATTTATAGCACTGTGCTGAAAATAGTGAATAGAGACATCCATCCTTCCATTGCCAATACTAGAGGAAAAAAACTCAGACTTTTATCATTAAGTATCAAGTTAGTTGTAAGGAATTTTATAAATACTTCTTATCAAGTTGAAGAAGCTTTCCCCATTTCTGTGTTTTTGGAGAGATATTTTAAACCATGAATGGTTGTAAGATTTTTGCCACATGTACTTTTACATCAGTTAGTATGATCATTTGATTTTTTTTCTTTAGCCTGTTAATATGGTTAATTACATTAATTGATTTTTTAAATGTTGGAACAGCCTGTGTCCCTTACATAAATTACACTTAGTCATGATGTAAAATTTTTTGTATGTATAGCTGAATTCTGTTTGTTAATATTTTCTTACAGATGTTACATCTATATTCATTAGAGATATTGGTCTGTAGTTTTCTTATTCTGTATTCTCTTATTCTGATTCTGGCATGAAGGCAGCATTAACTTCATAGTCTACTGGAAGAGTTTTCTCTTATTTTTTGGATGAGATTGTGTAAAGCTGATGTTGATTCTTCTGTAAATGTTTGATGGAATTCTCTAGATAAATATCTGAACCTAGGAATTTCTTTTTGGAAAGTTTTAAAATTCAATTGCCTTAATAGTTATAGGGTTATTCATATTATATTCTTTGATATCAGGTGTTGTGACAATTTATATTTTTTAAGAAAGTAATCCATGCTGTCTACTTTGTCAAATCTGTTTGTAGGGTTTTTCATAGTATTCACTTAGCCTTTTGATGTCTGTCTGCAGGGTCTGTAATGATAAACCTATTTTATTCTAATATTGATAAGTTTCATCTTCTTTCTATTTTTCTTTGATAGTCTTTCCATAGAGTTTTGTCAGTTCTAGTGGTCAAGATCTTTGCATCATTGATCTGTCTCTATTTTTCCCTGTTATCAATTTTGTTCATTTTTGATCTTTATTGCTTCTTTCCTTCCTCCTGATTTGAGTTTTGCATCTTTTCCTAGGTTCTTGAGATGGAATCAGATTAAGACCTTTCCTCTTTTGTAAACATTTAGTGCTATAAGTTTTCTTATCAGGACTATTGTGTCACATAGATTTTGATACGTTGTATTTCCATTTTCAATCACTGCCCTTTTAAAATTTTTCTTTAGACTTTTTCTTTGCACAGTGGATTACATATAAGTGTTGTTTATCTTTCAAGTGTTTGAAGACTTTCCTGTGATCTTTCTCATTTGATTTCTTTGTGATCAGAGATATACTCTATAATTTCAGTTAAATTTGTTGAGGCATATTTTCTAGGCATTGACCAAAAAGAAGTGTATTCTACTGGTGTTGGGTGTATTATTTTAAAAATATGTATTATATTCTATTGGATGATGGTGTTACTGAGTTATCTTCTATCTTTGTTGACTTTCTGTGTATTTTCTGCCAGCTGCAAGAATAATGTTGAAGTCTCTGACTATAATTGAGGATGTTTCTCTTTTCAAGTCTGTCAGTTGCTTTGTTGACTAGTGCATACTTCTACATTTAGACTGCTGTGTTTTACAAATGAGTTGAAATATATAATGGTCCTTCGAGCCCCATCTCTGGAAATTCTCTTTGTTCTGAAGCTCTTCTATAAAATATTTAATACTAATATAGAGCTTCAGCATTCCTTCAGTTAGTATTTGTGTGGCATGATTTATCCCTTTCCATCCTTTTTCTTTCAAAATGTCTATCTCATTGAATTTGAAGTAGTTTTCTTATAGATGGCATATACTTTAATTCACATTTATAAATCTGTTCTGCCCATCTGTTTTAATTATTCTACTTAGAATATTTAAATGTTATATAATTATTCATATGTTAGGGCTTAAGTCTGCAATCTTATTTGTATTACATTTATTATGATTTTTTTAAATTTTCATTAGTACATGTTTGTAGTACATGGCATTGTACTGCATTGTACAATCATTGTGAGGAATTGATTTGGAATATGTACATAACACATCTCAATTCTTTTTCTTTCCCCTTCCCTTCCACCTCTCTTTTCTTAAAATTATTTTTTTGTCAGAATCAGATTCATTTATTATTTTATAAGTCCTTTTAAAGTTAATTATCATACATACAGTCTAACAAGCCAAAAAACATATAAAACACATAAGGCAATTATACTAAATCAAGGTACATTTTCAGATACATTGTCCATGCTGGATTATAATAACTTTTTTCTTTCTCTCTTTTTTTCCTCCTGTTGTCTATCTTTTATTTTGCACTTTATTTATATTTTGGTTTTTTTTCATATAAGAGAAACTGTACAATATTTAAGCTTGTGTGTCTCATATAATTCACTTAACATTATGGTCTTGAGGTTGTTCTCTTTTTTTTGTCCCTGCTTTCTTTTTTCTGCCTTCCTGTGGGTTACTGAACATTTTGTAGCATTCAATTTTGTTTTCTCTATAGTGTCTTTAAATGTATCCACTATAGTGTTTTAAAATTTTTCTCTACTTGTATTTTATATATGTTTTTATATATGCATTTGTTGTTGTTGTTGTTGTTGTTGTTTTCCTTTGGTACTAGGGATTGAACTCAGGACCTTGAGCTTGCCAGATAGGTGTGGTGCCACTAAGCTACATCCCTAGTTCTATTTTTTTATGTATTGTATTTTATATATGTTTGTTAATGGCTGCTCTGGGTATTACATTTTATATATTAACTTATCACAATCTACTAGTATTTTCATTGTACCAGAGAAATGGAGGAATTTTATCTCTGTATCATTTTACCCTCTCTCGTTTGCAGTATACTTGTCCTAAATATTTCTTACACATACATTTTAAAACCACATCAGACAATTATTATAGCTTATTCTTCTATCATCATCAGACATAACTTAGAAACTCAGGAAAAGAAGGGAAACCTATTATATTTACCAATATATTTACTGTGTTCTTTCTTCCTTGTCAGTGTTATAAGGTTGCTTCTTTTATCATCATTTTTGGCATTTAGAGAACATCTTTTACCCTTTCTTTTAAGGAAATGCCTGGTATTGACAAATTCTTTCAATTTACTTTTATCTGAGAAGGTGTTAATTTCTTCTTATTCCTAAAAGGTATTTTCACTAGATAAAGCGATCCAGGTTGACATAATTTGATAAGACCTGAGAAATTATCCCTATAGTTTGTCATTTTTTTCTATTTTCAAGATTTTTCTCTTTTTCATTCATTTTCAGAAGTTCATTTATGATATATGTTGATGTGAATTTATTTAGACTTACGTTGTTGGGGTTCACTGAGCTTAAATCTGTAGATTTATGTCTCTTGCCAAATTTGAGAAATTTTTAGCCATTATATATAAAGATACTTTTTCTGCCCCACCCTTTTTCTCCTCTCTAAGAATCAAATGATATAAATATTAGATCATTCATTATTTCCCATGGACTCCTACAGTTTTGTTCATTTTTTCTAAAGTCTGTTTTGATTATTTCCAAGTACTACGTGTAATTAAGATAGATGAGCTTCAAAAATAATTTTGTTCATTCTACTTAAAATAGCATAGAATTTCTCTCAGCATTCCAGCATTGCATTGTTTTAATGCCTCTCTCATCCTAAAGAAAGAGAGATCTGGGGGCAACTGGTGTTAACCAGTTCTTAAAAAGCTGCCGGCGTAACTGACAAAATACACAAAAAGAGATAGATAGCCTGTAACACTTAGTTTTGCAATTTCGGAGTCTCCATATGTGCACTGTCAATTTTTGTGTGTAAAGGCCGGGTTTGGGAGTGCTGGGGATCAAACCCAGGGCTCCCACATACTAGATTCTACCACTGACCTACATGCCCAGCCTCAATTTGTGCGCGCGTGTGTGTGTGTATGTGTGTATGATCTACATAGAGTATTTCTGGGTTTTTTCTAGTAACTCTTATATCTTTTTATGTTGGAGATATCACCATTACATTGTCTACCAGCTGTGAAAACAAAATGCATGCTTGAGGTTCCTGTCATTTGGCTTCACCACCTATTTCCATTTTTGTTGTCTTCGTCTATCTAACCAACAACTTAAATTAAAAAAATAAATGATATACATGCCATATTAGTGTAAAGAGTTGTAGTGATTGCATTTTTCTCTTTGTTCTCTTCCCCCACAGGAATAAATGAAGAAGAGGAGAAGAAAAAAGAAAAAAGTAAAGAGAAAATCAAGTTGAAAAAGAAAAGGAAAAGGTACTTTTTCAATAGCATATTATTAAAAATAAAGTAGGATTGTGAGTACAGGGAGGATTCTGAAATTTTTTCATGTATAGTCCATTTGATTTAATGTTAATATGTTCCTAATGGAAGTTATATGTTCAATTATTTCGGTAAAATAGCAAAGTCCCTTATGTTAGTAATCAAAAATATAGTCAACATTCAACCACCTTAAATTTTATTTTTGGAATACAATAAATCAAGGTACAATACCCCCTCTTCTTTTACTTCTTTTATATATTCTATTTATTTATTTTCTAGATGTTTGCATTTTAGAGCAGCAGCTAAACTTTTAATTGGATACTCTAACTCCACACATATTTTGTTGTCCAATAGATGAAATTGAAGCTGCAGTATGTTATATTCTTGTAATATCATAACCATGGCTAAGAAATTAATTTAATTTGTTGATAGAATTTAGTGTAACTTCTTAAGCTAAAAATTTCTTCAGGTCTTTCAGAACCCTTATCAACCACCTGTGAATTTTTACTATTAACTCTTTTTTTTTCTGGGTACTGAGGATCAAACTCAGAACCTTGAGCTTGCAAGGCAGATGCAGTGCCACTGAGCTAAATCCCCTGCCCTACTGTTAACTCTTTCAACAACTAACTGGTTAAAGAAATTATCAAAAATAGTAAGATATGACTTTTCTCTGTTTAATGAAAAAAATATACACATGTAGACATTTTTAAAGTACTTTGCCATTGTTAGGTCTGGTTTAGACCCAGTTGTCTCATGGAACAGGTTCTGTAACATTAGGTGTTGTCACTTTGTAGCTTTTATGAAACATTTAATTACATACATTTTAAAACTTGAGATACCTTGTAAACTGGAAAAGTTAGACTATTTTCAGGAGTTGAGAGTTAAATAGTAATCTTGAACATAAAAGTATGTTCAAGAATGTAGAACTCAAGATTTCGGACTTAGTTACATTGTTGAATTTGTACTAAAACAGCATGGTAGATTGCTTACAGGAAACATGAGGTTTATTTGTTGTCTTCCAAGTTCTGATATACCTAATTTATAGTAAAAGATTATTTATTTAGTTCTCTATTTTGAGCCTCACAGATGTTAGATAAAGCCTGAAATTAAACAAACTTCACTTTGTAAAGATAATGTCACCTAATAGTATGCTATGTACAGCCTTATATTTTGCATTAAAAAATGAGAATCCAGAATCAAAAAAACAGAAAAAAGTGTAGGCAGAGAAGCAGCTCTACTCAGAATCTAGAGGTCAAGTGAAAAATGGTCTTTAAAATAGCAAAGCAAGCTAGGTACATTGCTATCTGCTTGTAATCCCACCACTCTGGGAGACTGAGGCAGGAGGATAATAAGTTGGAACCCAACCTGGGCAACTTAGCAACTTATGGAGAACCTATCTGAAAATAAAAAATTTTAAAAAGGGATAGGGAAGGGGGATATAGCCCTGGGTTCAATCTCGTAATGCAAAATAAAAACTGGGGAATTTAGAGACCACACAAGAAAATAAGCTTAGCAGGTGGTTAGAAATCTATGAAAGCAGACAGATCGGTTAGAGAAAAAAGATACAATGTTTCAGAAATGAAGGCAACTCAGAGCCAGGGAATATACGGTTCACTCTGCAGAGGTAAGATCCCTTGAAACCTCCAAGTGTCATGCATTTACTTTGTTCCTGCCTTATGTCTGTCTCAAGTCTGTCCTAAGATTTCTAAGTTTGAGTTTTAACTCCTAATATTTAAATCATTGAACTCACTTTTAAGATGCCAGTTTTATTTTCAATTAACTCAGTTTATGACTTTTCACATGTATTTGGATTTGGGTATAGGTAAAATATTACACACCTATTTTATGTAAAATCTGAAATGTTGGCCTTTTTGGGTTTTTTTAAATGTCATTTCTTTTTTCAATATCAAGGAAAGAATTGTATGTTTTTGCCCCAATTTCATGTTAGAGTCTTATTACAAAACTACAATGATAAATCATCCTCATTCATTTACATAAAGTATTCATTTAAAAGTATTTTTTCTGTAACTAGTGAAAATTATTTTATAATGCAAGTATTCATTTGTATCACTGCATCGAGAATGTAGATGACTTGAAAAATCAAAGGAATTATAAAAGTGCTTTTTTCATTAATTTTCAGCTTTTGTCCATTTATACTAATGTATAATTATAGCTTTTTATATGTATGTATAATTGCATCCTTTTGTAGTACTTTTAAGAGAATATGCTAACAAGTTATTATATATGCAAGTGAATTGTGTATATAATAAAGCTTGATGACTACCACTTTGTTTGCCTTACAAGATTTTGAAGGATAGTTCAGCATAAAAATCTGAAAATCATAGAAAAATAATTTCATCCTCACTGAATTTAAAAGTCCTTAATAAAGTGGAGCAGAATAGGGAGATTAGTCTTGTCAGTTTCTGTGCTCAGTAGCAAAAATTCTGAATTCAGCATTTTTAGAGAACACAGAGCACATTTTGAGTTTATGTTTATATCCTATCCTTACTCCAGGAAGAATTTAAAGCCACCCAAATCCCATTTAAATTTACCTAATAGTCCTAAATACAATTTTCAGCCACGTCTTATTGCTCATAGGTCTTATTCCAGTTCCACTGAAGAAGATTCTTCTAAACAAAAGAAACAAAAATTTCAGAAGAAAGAAAAGAAAAAAGAAAAAAAGAACAAATCAAAAAAAGGAAAACATCACAAAAAAGAAAAAAAGAAGAGAAAAAAGGAAAAGCATTCTTCTACCCCTAATCGTTCTGAATTCACAAAAAAGTAACTGAGACCTTGGCCTAAGTCATTAAATTTAAAATACCATCTTTAAAAATGGCCCTTTCTTGGATTTTGCTATATAATTATGCTTTGCGATAAACCCCACTCTTTTCCATATAGACATTTTTCATCGGTGGGACCATTATCCCTCTGGCCTTATGTATTCAGATAAGTCTTATTACTTGATAGCCATGCCCCATGTATAGATATTTGGGCATACAGAGCACATGATTTTTGGTATTTTTATCTCTGTTTGGCTAGTGTTATTACTTCATAAGTTGATTATAAATGACTTTTTTACAGTCAATGTGAGCAATCTACCTAACAGTTAATGAGTATCCCTGAATCAAGTGTCCACCTTTCAGCAAAGAAGCTAGGTAAAGAGTAATGATTTGTTGTTGATGCTAAAAAATAGAATAGCTTTATATATTATGACATAGTATATAAAGGTAGTGAAATTCTTTACTCTGGTTTTTAAATCTCTAGGCTTTTTTAAATAGCATAGGAGATGAAACTGCTTTACTGTTCTTGAGCAGTTCTTTTTAAATGAATGGTGTCTGCAGGAAGATGATAATGAAAATATTTATCACAAAATTTCATTGCTTTATAAAATGAAGAGTTTCTAGTACCTGCCTCCCTTTTGTTTAGTAATAATTAAAACATTTATTCCTTGGTTAGAAACTAGTTCAACCTGTGAGAAAGTCTGGCAGAGATGATGCTATGTTGGTCAGAGTGTTTAGGGTAGACTCCTGGGTTTTAGAAATGTGCCATATTGGCATATCTTACAGAGATACCTCAAAACAGCCAAATCTTCATTAGAAATGATATTTATTGTATTTAATATGTAAACATTATGAAGCTTATGTCTGTGAGTAATGTGGAAAAATTTTATAAACATTAGCGTATATATCTTTGTCGGAAATGATTTATAATTTTGAAGCAAGTTTCACAGTAACTTTCTTCTTTCGTGAATAACAAATTTCAGGTATTTCCCTTTTACTTCAGTCACAAATAATGGTAGGAGTGACAAAAATTTAAAATTAAGAATTTTATTCTGTACTTTTTAAAATTTAAGAATCAGGGAATTTCATCATGAAAGCCTTTATATAACAATGGAAATTTTCTATGAGTAAGCATTTTAACATGCATGTTAGTAGATGTGTTTCTTACATTTTTAATTTTACAGTGATCAGTGTTATTTAATTTGCTTAATACTTAGTATTTCTGATACCCAGTAAGTTAAATACTAATATTTTAACAACATTAAAACTCAACCTATGATCATGGAAAAGCACCAAAGATCCCAAGTACCTCACTGTGGTGCACTTAGAAGTTTTCAGGTTGGTAACCCACAGACAGAGCTCCAGGTGTATTCATGATGATGAAATGAGCTGTGTTCAGTTAACTTCACAGGCTGGAAGTGGTTACTGATTCTTCCTTCAGGGGACACCTTACCCAACACGCCCCATACTCAAAACTCCGGGGAAACTGCACCTGCAACCCTGCCCTGGCATTTGAGCCTCAGAAGCCTCATACCTCCAGATTTTCCATGACCTCATTTACTCACTTGGTTCCCTGAAAAAGAAATTCTTTTGTTTAAAAAGTTCAGTCAGCAGAAAAACACAAAACTATTAGATTTTTAAGGGTTTGTTTTGCCTTTGCTATTCATCTTATGAAAGTGCAGTTCTTAGGTTATCATGATTGTTGAAATTGGTGGAAAAGAAAAAACCTTTAAAAAATTAGTAATGCTATATACAAAAGGATGGCCTCATCCCATTGTGTATGTAATATGGTAGCAGTTGCAGTACAGTTTATCAAGTTATTTGTTTTACTTCTGTTAATTATAAAGATTATAAATTAACTCATTAGGTTTGCTTTTGGAACAGTGACAGAATGATTCAGAAGTTATATAAAAGTCAGCCTTCATTAAATAATATAGTATAGAAAATAAAAGATTTTAATAGCTTAGTAATTTTTCCCCAGAAACAATCTTAGAATTTTATTCTTGATTTCCCATATTAGCACAGTTTATAGAATGTTTCATTTGAATAAAAGTCATTTATTTCTACTAATTTTCTCCTGAGATGATCTTGCTATTAATGCAAATCTCACTATTAAATTTCAGGGGGAAATTCATAACATTTCATCCCAGGCAGTATGTAGCAGAAAGAAAACTAACTTTAACAGTAACAATCCAGAAGTCATGACCATTCTTTACTAGGTAGCTGGACTCTCATAGTGTAACCCTGTATATCCTGCAGCAGTCTTCTAGCTTCTTTGGGGCTTGATGTCTTTTACCTATAAGCTGTTGTACTAAATTATCTCTGACATCATTTCTAGTCTTCAATGTATATGATCACCAATATTTTAGTAAAATTCAAGTAATACTTATTTAGAAGTTGTTATAGATAAGCAGTTGTTATAATGTTCTATAATAGTAAAGATTGAATTTATTAACACAGCTGTTAAATATATCAACTTTTTAAAACAGAAAAATGATACTTGGTTTGTTCTTTTTGTTACCACCCAATGTATGTCATTTTCATTAAATCCAGAGAATTTATATTTGCATCTGTTACCACATTATCGAAACACTTTGAGGCTATTGTTTTTAGGTGGTAGACCTAGTGCCCCATAGTTTCTCCATATTTTTCTATATACCATATGTTGGCTAAAATCTCTCAGAGGTATTTTTAGTTCTTCAAACTTAATTTATCTCCTTTTACATCTTTAGTTCTCTGAAGCCAAAGCATCAATAAATGGGAAAATAACTATATGTGTCTGTATTTACTGTACTATCTAAAATTATATAACTTTAGGTCACTCTAAGTAAACTAGGCATAAAGGTTATTAATAATGTTCATTAAAATGCCATTGAGTTATTTCTTCAACAAATATTGAGTATCAATGATGGCACATACCATGGTGCTAGGTAGTAAAGGAGAGTTCTAAATAAGACACACTTGCTTCCCCGAAGGAGTTCACTGTCTAGTTGGTTTGAGAAATACTAGAACACACCATTGTAAAACTGTTTCTGTAATTGACTCAAACATGGCTTTATAGAAACACAGATGCATACCTAAACTACTCTGGAGAAATTAGAAGAGGCCACCTATAGAAAATAATACCTGAGTTTTATATTGATTGAAGATAAGAGAGACATGGTCAGGCTGGATACTGTGAACAAAGATCACATACAGTTACATGCATGTAAGAGATATAAGCAATCCCATGTTGCTATGGTGGCATGTGTTAACTGGAGTGGTAAGAATTGAGACTACCATTTTAGATTCTTGAGTTCAAGAGAAGGTCTTGTGTTCCATGTTTAGGAGATTGGACTTTATAAGCAATGAGGCACCATCAAAGACTTTTAAAGGAAATGACCATTATTGGGATTTGGTTTTATTCATTTTATAAACCTATTATACAGTTTTTTAAAAGATGAAATTGCTCTCATTAGAAGGCTCCATAAAAAGTCTTGTGATTCTTTTAAGTTCTGTTATTTGTATTTTTCTATACCCACTTTTCTTTCCAAGGTCTCATTATTTTTACAAAAATTAGAGTGACTTAAATTGCCTAAAAATACAAAGTTCTACTGTATTCTTTATCATACTCATTCCCAGAATTATGTACATATACATTTAAAAAAATTTTTTAGTTTATTTTTGACAGGCTTAAAATAAATTATATCATTATGTTATTATTTGTTATGCCCAAATAAATAATTTAAAATGTATTTTTCAACGTATAGACTGTGCCATAATTTGATAAACCTTCTTGTTTTTAATATTTTGTTTTAATTTGTAAAGCACAGCTACTTCAGAATTACAGAGAAAGATGCCAGCTGGTCCACTAGAGGAGTCCGGTGGCTCTTCCTCAGGTAACCTACTGATAAGCTACTTCCTCAGGGAGCCAGCCAAGGACCCTCTTCTAATCCTAGTGCTGGGAGACAGACCTCCTGGGCAGTTGTCCAAGAATAGTATGTTTCTTATGCCAGTGTGACTGTAATCCTAGCTGCCAAGCCCAGAGTCTTCAGACCTCACCTATCTCCTCTCAGCTCCTGTGAAAATACTCAGAAAAGCAGAGAATTGGTGTGCCTGTCCTAGGGCACAACCATGATTCATCCAGCCAGGCCCAGCCCCTATTTGCTTGTTCTCCAGGTGAGGAGGAGTCTCAGACCAGGAGCATTTTGCTGACCTTGAGTCTATGTTTCCTGCCTCTTCTGTCATTAATGGCATATGCTCTTGCTCTTGAGCAACAAGTAAAACTATACTACAGTGCCTTAACTTTTTCAACTAGATTTTTACCTGAGACAATACAGTAATATATTACTTCCTATATATCAAATTTTCTGAGATATTTTAAAAATCAAAGTTGTATAAAAAATTTGAAAGATAAAAGATCTGTGAGCTTTCAAGAAATAAAGGAAAAATCTTTGCTTTTATGACCTCATGTCACTTTTATAATGGAAAAGTCTTAACATTTCACATACATTCTAAGCCTTTTTTTATATTTAAACCTTGGCAAAAGTGTGCTCTTTTTGAATGTGAAACCTAAGTCAAGCAGTAGGATGTTGTGATAATGATGTGGGACTCTGCTGTCAATATAACCACATGTGGTTATTTAATTTTAAGTGGCGACTATAGCAGACAGTACAAAAGAACATTTCTGTCATCACAGAAACTTCCTTTGGACAATACTGGTCTAGAAGATATCCATGGGTCTTGGTAGAAATTCTGTCAGCCTAATGATGAAAAGTTTCTAACCCCAAGCTTTCCATGCCCAAGAACAATAGGCATCCAGACCAGAGAAGCTATACTCAGGCTATTTTGACAGGCTGGTCTTCTGACTAAAAACTTCATGTAAAGCAGCAGCTGTGTGTAGTGGAGCTGGCTTAAAATTAGTCCTTTTTTCTGTTGAATTCCATTATGAAACCAGGTCTGTGTTCTTATAACAAAAATCACATTTATGGATAAAATCCTTATTCATAATTTGCAGAAATTAGTTTTGTTTCTAGATGTCGAGGAGGTATTAATGTGATAATATTAGGTTAAAACCAGAAAACTTGATGGTTTTATAACTTTCATTACAAGGATTCTTAGGGAAATTTATCAGCAAGGATTTCTATTGTTATCCCTTGAAATACAGAAAACATGTACTGTACAGATTATACAGTGTGATTTTTTTTATACTGGATATTAACTTTTATAAAGGTAATATATTTTGCCCCCAGAGAGTCCTCCAAAAAGGTGTGGGTTGATTCCTAAGGCACCTAAGAACATGTCACTTCTTGTTTATAAGACAGTTCCCCCTGAGATTTATCTGTCTAGTACTATCATCTCTTATATAAAAATAACTCTATTATCAAAAAATTGTGAAATATGGTAATATGATGTAAACTTCTCATTGTTTCTCAGTAAGATAGGTTTGCTTATCTGTGTTATTGATAAATTCTTTTAATTTCTCCTGAAAAATTAGCATAATTTCATGTAACGCAGAAACAACAAATAAAAGTAAACCTATGCATGTGAAAATATCAAAATCTTAGTGAGTGTTTAAATAAATTAACTGATCAAAAATGCAGCTGTTTCCTGTTTTGTGAGAAATACTTGAAATGAAAAATTACAAACTATGATTTGAAATGCATTCTTTATTTGTATTGCTCCATCTCTCCAATGAGCTTTTAAAACACAGAATTTTCCGTTAATAAGCAATATTGATTTGTGCTGTATCCATTGCTTTTTCTTGAGTTACATCATCAGCTTCATAAGATGTTTCATTTGTTGAATTTGATGCTGCATTTGAATTGAGGGCTTTAGTTTTCCTATTTAAGTTGCCTGCAAATACACAAAATAAAAAAAATTATTTGAAATCATGCTATAAAATTTGACTTTTTAAAATGTGTGCTTAAATCAATTTTCCTAACAATGTTGAAAGTATGATGTCCTGTAAATGCTAGGTAGATGAGTTAGAATTTCTGTAACTCAATAAGGGAAATATTTAGCCACAAGTGTAAAAATTTCATTTCCATATTTACCTTTTTTTTCTGCACGCTTCTATGAGTAAACCACATACTTGACGAAGAGGTAACAATTTCTGGATCACTTAACAAAATGTATAACTATCCTATGCATAAACTGAATAAGCTGCATTAAGCCCAATCATAATAATTTGCAATAATCTTAAATCTTTGCCATCACAACCAATTTAGATCTAATTTTTAAAAAGGACACATTTGTGCCACAACCCTATTCACATACTGCATATAAACATGAGTCCAAATGATCAGAAGCTTGGCTAACAAACTTGTAAAAAAGAAAGAAATTGTTATTCAGTGAACAGATTTAAAAAGTGGAATAATTGTGGAAATAGTGTACCATTTTACCAATATATAAAATTTTGGATATAGTTTTTAAATGTAAATATGTAAAAAGCAGTGGAAAAAAACTCAGAGACATCACTAATGACTTCTCTGTCCAGTTCATCCTCGTTGTACTAACAGCAGCACTTAGCTCAGTTCTTTCCTTGGCTTCCAGGTGCTACCCTTCTTTGACCCCCTTCTTCTACCTCCTCCCCACCGCTTCTTCTTAATCTCCCTTGCCAGTTTCTCTTCTCTCAGACTCCTTTGATTTAGTAGTGCCTCTGGACTCAGCCCTGGGTTCCTGTCATGATCTCACTCCCTAATTAAATTAGTCAGCCCCACAGTTTATTATTGTGTTTTTTCAATATTCACAGTCAAACCCAGGGCCTCACACATAAAAGCACTCTACCACTGAGCTATATCCCTGGCCCTTTTCTTTGTTTTGAGACAGTGTCTTGCTAAGTTGAACTTGCCATCCTCCTGTCTCAGACTCATGCATACCTGATATTATAGGTGAGCACCACCAGAGTTTTAATACCACCTCAATGCTGATGACTCTCGAATATGTATCTCTAGCCCAGAGCCCTTCTCCAAATTCAACTTCTAATTGATACCTCTATTTGAATATTTAGTAGTCATTTTCAACTTAATTCAAAACAAAGTTGGATTATTCCCAGAAGGAGCTGCTCCACTTGTCTTCTTTTACTAGCAACTCTCCAGTTCCTCAGACCAAAAACTGCAGTCATCCTTGACTTCTTTTCTCTCAATACCCTATATCCAATTAATCAGAAATCCTGTTGACTATGCCTTTAAAATTCATCCACAACCACTTCTCACCATCTTCACTATTACCACTACTATTCTCTTTTCAACCAACACTGAGCAATCCTTTAAAAAACAAGGCATATCATATCTGCTTAGAACCCTCCATTTCACCCAAGTCTTCACAACTGCCTACATGATCTCATGTGCATACCACTAACCTCCCTGACTTCATCTTTTTCTGTTTACGCTCTGGTTCACTCTAATTTGTGGTTAAACATTTCAGGCATGTTCCAGCCACAGAAGTTTTGCACTGGATATTCAGTCTTGTCTGGTATGTTCTTTTCCCAGATAATGTACATAATAATTCTCTTGTCTCCAAGTCCTTTCTCAAAAGCCACCTTTTGAATTGGACCTACCCTAAACCCTTTAAAATTGAAACCTAGTCTCCAACCTCTTCTGCCCTCTTTTTTTTTTTTTTCTATGGTACTTATTTTCTAATATAATTTGCCTATTTATCATGTTGATCACTTACTACATATCTCTCTTCAACAAAATATAACTAACGTGCCAAGGGATTTTGACTCTTGTTCATTCATTTCTAGAAATTAATGAATCTAGAAAAATACCTTACACATACCAAGCATTCAATAAGTATTTGTTGAGTGAAATTAATTAATTAAAATACTATATAACATTTTTTTAAAATACTATATAACATTTAAAGTTTGATGTAATAAAACTAAGTTTGTGGGTGCCAAATGACAGTTGAAACCCAACTGGAGAAAATGTTTAGAACAAGTGGTTCATATCTACCATAATAAGCTCTAGATTTTTAAAAGCTATTTTGTAGACACGTCATTTTCCAGCTTGAAAGATACCCTTTTGCCCAATCAGTAAACAAAGCTGTTCAAGATAAATGTAGGCAAAGCTAGCATGAAAATGTTAGGAACTGAAAAAATCTTGACTGCTGTTTACAAAGTAGATGATTGAAAAAACACATTACATCAAATTTAACTACTAAACTCTTAACAATGAAATATATTGTATATAGAGGCCCTTGAAGCTATTTCTCATATAACATTTAAAAACCAAGTTAAGATGTTTATAGGTTATTTTTCACTTAGTATTGGTTTTACACTTCAGTATCATAGTAGTCAAAGATAAAAGGTCAAGGATATAATATGTAAATTAGTTTATCTTTTCTGGGTAGCATTTGCATCTTATACTAGTATTTATGCAAAGTTAAATTTTTAATACTCTACTGAAATTCCTAACCTAGTTATTTTGAGGCTCTAAGTTGCCTCTATTCCGACAGCTCTAGTTTCCATTATGTATTTCTCTGTCAACAACTGAAGGAATTTAAATTGTCTGCTGCCCTCTGAGGTATGATGGCTTTCAAAATACATCCCAGAATTGCGGATTTTCCTTCATCTAGGACTGGTAAAGACTTTCATTTCCCAGTCCTTGACTCATTCTTTGACTCATCCTTCTAACCAGTGTTAGGTACAAAGTTAATGTCTTGGATTGGCTTCTTAAACCAAAGCAATTTGCTTAATAAAACCACTTTGCTATGGGAACAAGAAAAGGTCTGTTGTAAGCACAACACTGTCTAGTGTTCACCATTTCCCTGCAGAAGATGATAATCCATAAATACTTTCAATGGCTTTCCATCCAGTATTTTAAGAGTTGACTGGATACATAAAAAACAACTTCAGTGAGTGGAGCTGTAGTGATACAATAGGGAATAGCTCTTTGGCACAATTTTAAAAGAAAGAGGAGCATCTCATCAAGCTCTGTTTTTCCTAATTTTCATTTAATAAAAAGAACTAATTCCTTAACCAACAAAGAAGGGATAAAAGCAGCTTCTCTTTCTCAAGGTTAGCACCTGGATTTAATTTTAAATAAAAATTCTGTAATACCATTGAACTCCCAAGGGATTTATTACACATAAAGTCTTTCTTATTTGATTCTTTAGTTGAATGCAAACTGCCAAGGCCCAACATGGCAGTTCTTTTCTCCATTGACATCAGTTCCTCTCTCTGCAGCTTGCTTCCCATTTCCTTTTTTTTCTCCCAGTCATCATATGTAAATCTCAACCTTACATTAATCCTATGTCTCCCAGACTGGCATTTAAATCAAAGTTTTAGCCTTTGCCAAAATTTAAATCGAATTTATCAATCTTTCTACCTGTCCTCATCATAAGTAGGCCAACATACTTTTTCTAATAACAGTTGAACTTTGCACTCATTTTCAGAACCATCTTCACAGATCTGTTTATCCTATAAGTATCTGAACTCTGTTCTTGACTGTCTGATTGATTGATTGGTTGATTATTTTAGCAAGTAAGTAGTACTAGGGATAAAATTCAGGACTTTTGTACTAAGCTACATTCCCAGTTCAATTTTTAATTTCTTTTACTCTTTATTATAAGACAGAGTCTCGCTAAGTTGCCCAGGCTCAAACTGCCATTTTATATTTTTAAAATTAGTGTGTGTTCAAAAAAAAAAAAATTAGTGTGTGTTTGCTGTGTATGACATTTACATTTATCTTAGGGAGTAGGCACATATATATACACAGCTTGATTCCTTTTTATTCCTCTTCACCTGTCTACCCATCTTCTTCCCTCTATCTCTATATCTCTTGTCCCCATTTTCGTTATTGTTGTTATTATTTTTTATTTCATGTTTATAACAATTAATGTTTACATTAATTATGGGTATTTGATACAAGTACCTGACACATCTTAAATATTTTTACTTCCCCTTCCCCTCTTCCCTTGTCCTCACCCTTGGTCCCTTGGACCTCTTCCCATTTGCAAAAGATTTATCTTCCTGTTTCCTTCTATCACTCCTTTGTTTTCTTCTTTATTTCTACTTTTCCTTACTCAAATGAGAGACACTTTATGGTACTTAAACTGTGTACCTGATTCATTTCACTTAACATACTTTCCAGGTGTATCAGTTTTCCTACAAATATCTCAAGTTAATCCTTCTTTATAGCTAAGTAGTATTCCATTGTGTATAGATTACACATTTTTTAGAGCTAAAGACATCATCTTACACCAGTACATGCATACCAATGTTTATAGCAGCACAATTCATGATAGATAAATTCTGGAAGCACCCTATATGCCCATCAACAGATGAATGGATAAAAAAATAAGGTGTCTATACATAATGAAATACTACTCAGCTGTAAAGAAGGATAAATTTGGAATGCTGTTTAAAAATATCAAAGAATATTGGGGACTTCTGAAGGCCTTTATTTTCTTGCTCTCTGGCAGAACTGTATTGAGCTTTTCTGCCATTGTCTGGCATATCCTTCTGGCTTCTGTGTCACCATTCTGAAGTCCCACAGAAGCTTCCAACTGCTAATCTAGCTGGGCCCCTTTTGGAAACAATCTTAAATCTGCACCCTGAAAGTGCCTTTTTCAATTCTGAGAGGACATTTCCCCTTTGATTTTAATATAATGCATAGGACTGGGTAGCAAAATGAGCAAAACTTACCTGGTGACCTATTGGACTATTTACTGACCTCTCCTTTTTTCAGTGAACTGTCTTTCTCCCTAAATATCAATATATCTATATCTGTCTATACCTATCTATCTATATCTCTATATATTTCTCATATAAATACAAGTTTAAAAATTAGCATCTTTGACTTGCACATTTGCTTTCCCCACCCATCAATGTTCGGAGGCAGTTCTATTAA